TAAATTTGTGGAAAAATAGGTAAAGTGTTTAGAAGTATAGATTCCCACAAACAGTGAAAGAGCCCTCCGGATCTAGAATTTACTCTTCACGACCCTTATCATGGCCTGGACAACACTGGTACAGAGCACCACACTACCAAAAAAGAATGCATGCGTACGCTGAGGATTTTTTTTTCCCAATTGCCATGGCTCAAAGTTAACATAGCAGAGAGGAGGTAAAATATATGCCAACGCACAAGCACTTGTGGCTCCGATTAGCTCAAACACAGTGCCCAAATCGCATGTAAGTAATGATATAGTCACAGACGTAACGACGAGCGCCGAGGTAAATATTACATGCCGAGCAAAATTATAAGGCTCATCAGGAAAGAAGAATGTTGTCATTACCGAACGGCAAACAAAAGCTTCCAATGGTAGAGTTGCAAGCATGTTCAATCCGAAGCAACTGGAATTCTCCTAATCAGCATCAGGTTTGTTAATTTGCTCAATCTAGAATTATACACTGACAGTCTTGCAATGTTCACCATGACATTACCAGATGGGAAGTTGTTCAATACATTGCCTTTTGTCTTCTCACCAAAGGCAAGAAAGCCTGCGATTGCCATTATCAAACACATGACCATCGATATACCCGTCGAGTAATGTGTGACGAGAGCAAAGCGATCCATAGTCGGCTTCTTTAGAGAGCCGTATATAAGAAGGCTGTTGTGATCTATGAGACGACATCAGTTATGGCACGCACCAAGAGGAGTGAGAGTGATGTTGTCGTACGACAAACAAAGGCTGAAAGAACACATTAGCATGTAGTCACTAGAATCACGATTACACCAAAATTTACCAAAAGATATGACACCGACTGCCTGGAAGAAGCCATTGCTCTGCGAAAAGATCATGGGTAATTGGTCGCCCCTCAAATCATTCGGTGCTCGGATTCCTTCAATAATCACGGTGATCACAATCACAACCATGGAAACCAGTGCAAGGGTCGATGCTTTCGCCAGCTACTGAAGAATTAGTTGTGTACGATGCAAGGAGAAAAAGTTTTTCATTTACCTTTGCAATGTCCCGGTAAAGGGATAAAGGGTAGGAGATCCCCAATATAAAAAGCGCGATGACGGCTCGCCTATCTGTCAGGAGCCATAGAAAAGGTGTATCCTTCAATGATGGGAAAATTGACGCGAAGACATGAGGGATTGTATCCCCGACAATGATACAAAATGCAACCATGCCTCCAAATGCAAATGCCCATTGTGCAATGGAAATGGCTATTAAACCAGGTTTTCCAAAGCAGAATTCCACGGTTGTTTGAAATGAGTCTGCGCCGCTCAGTTTCGAATTGATGACAATCAAGCGAATAGTCCAGTCGACGACGACAGTAAGTCCACAAAGAAGTATTATCCCAACCAACAATCCCGCTTGCCGAAACGCGTAAGGTTGTCCGATAATTCCCGCGCCTATGATGCTGTTCGCCATATTCATGAAAGCATTCTTTAGCCCGCTCCTGGGCCGCGCACCTTCCAGATGATCCTCGGGAAAAAAATCCTCCGACGTAGCCAAAGTAACAGTTGGCGCTTCAATATTGGTAAGTAGAGGGGCAAGCTGGCCGGTGCTGCTACGGCCCCGGCGGGATCCATTAGCATTCAGATAATCGTCCTCCTCAAGCCATGAGGAAGGATGGCCCATAGGTTGATTTTGTTCCTCTTGTTCTTCTCCTTCAGTGTCATCGCCCAAATCGAATCGCACCCGGTTGGGAGTTCTGGGCGTTCGAGGTTGGCCGTTCGAAGGTGGCACATATATAGAGGTTTGCTGTTTGGAGCTAGACGACGAGGGTAATTGCAAAGATGTGGTTTGGGTTAGGTGTTCATCCTCCTCGTCCAGGGACAAGAGGCCTCGAGATTCTTCCCCATCTGCTTCATTTCCATCAGTCTTGTGAACATCAAGTCTATCGCCTCTAGGCATGGCGAAGTGGAAAACCGCTGTTGTTGATAATAAACTGGGCTTGTTGTCCACAGCTCTTTACAGAGCTACCAGGTACCTAGGTATTTACTGGCCAATCACGTGCAGCTGGGGTACCCAAGCCTGACAAATAAGGAGTTCGCTTGTCACTCACTCTTGGGAAGATACAATTAACCGGTAAGTTTCTATGCAGTTTTTTTTTCATGTCTCTAAAAATTAACTACTTTTTATGCTTTCGGGAAGTGTGGGTGAAATTAAACAAAGAAATGACATCATGCCTTTGAGACACCATAATTCCACAATGATGCAGTTCTTGGTCAATGCATGGAACGAGAACAGTGGAAGCTTCTGCCGAGCACCGCCTGCTTCCAAGGTTCATTCAAATGTCGACCAGTTTCCGAGATAAAGAGCTCAACTATCCTTGAATACTGATATGTATTTTCACTATGTGATTGCGCCGTTCATACTTGTTGTAAAGGACTGTTGATTCGACCGTCAAGCAAACATCTTTTCTTTGGCACCACGGGGACCCCAAAAATGGGCATGGATGTGACAATTTATCATGCATGGATAACACAGTTGAGTGCCAAGTTATCACTTTTAGATACACTGATGGGTGTCTATAGTTGTAATGAGGCTCTCGTTGAGGCTCTTGTCGTGGTATGACTGACCAACCTTATCTCAACCACACGCCCCTTTCGTCATCCCCGTGTTCCCTTCTTTCGGTATGCTGTTTTCTATTTTCGGTATCCATCGAAAGGTATATGGACTTTCAGACTAAAACCACTAGTTATATGCTTGTTCTCGTTCGCTTCTTCTGTTCCCCAGGTTCGGCTGATGGATTGAAATGTTACGCAGCCGATTTGAGCTCGGATCGACGGTACATTTCTATAAAAATGAGGATATCCGGCTTAGAGTGACAGCGTCAGCAGAAGCCTCTTATCCAGATTCAATTGCAAATTTAGACCGTTCAACTTTGCTTGGCGCGATTAAATCGGGTGACGCTTGGATTTTCCCAAACGGTCGTTTGGAATTGAAGATCTACATCATGATTGAACGCCCTTTGCATAAGCTCAAGGTCTCTATCGACGGGATATTGAAAAAATTGAAAACTACTATAATTGAATCACAGGGTCAAGGCCAAATAAAACCACAATCACTGGAATATCCTTTTTCCCTGCCATGCTAACTTGTGTATAAGCTTTGGGCATGATCTCCAAAATTCCCAAGGTATTTGACAATGGACGAGATTCTAACCGACCCAGAAAGGT